AGTATTAGTGATACTACTATATCGGTTTACTAATCCCAACTTCTTTAAATAAATGTAGCTGAAATAGTGCTAATTTGTTGAGTTTTCAATGAAATTTTGAAGAATATTTTTCAAATTATAATAAATCTGAATTGTTTTCGATATAAAAAAAAGAAAATTGAAAAAAAATTTTTTTTTTGCCAAAAGCAATTGTTTTGCCAACACAAACAGAAAGTTTTTATTTTCTGCACTCTTTGCCCTGTATCTTCGTAACGGCTGGACCCGCCTTTGCCAAAAACTAATCAGCACATCTCCCTATGAATAGGAATCGAATGCTTTTTGAATCATTTAAATCGGTTGATCTGTGCTCTCGAAAACGTTGGCTAAAAATTGTATCCACACATACATACGCACGCATAATTTTTTTCTAAGGTATGTCAACACGTTTAGCGGAAGGCTTTAAAACGTAAATTTACATGAAAAATTACAAAAAAAATTAAAAGAAAGCTTTCAGAAAAATCATGAGCAGAAAAACTTGGACTTTATATAAATATATATTCACGTCGAAAGTGTTTACTGAAGGGTTAATATATATCTGGCATTTAAATACAGCAATAAACATTTAATCACGTCCAATTGGTTCACCAGGCTGCCCACGTAACAAACAGTATAACCATAACGATGACGTAGTGCAGAAAAGCAAACCAGTCGAGTTATCTGAGTCTATTCTTATGTTGTTTCGTTATGCGATGCATAGGAATAGAAACAGAAGTATTTAGAGCCGCGATTTCAAAACAACCGCTTTGTAATAAATTGCTATTTGGGTGGTGTGTCAGATAATGCGTCTGGTCAGCAAATAGATAAAGGCTAATCCACATTGAATTTTTCCTATCTGACATCTAAAAAGAATCATGATGATACTTTATACTTTTTCTTCATACCAGGACGTCCAATCACTTTCTGAATATTAAAAAGAAATATCGATTTTTATGAAATTTCATAATTATATTCAGTATGTCTGAGAATCAGACTACCTCTCGTACGCCAAAGTGGTAAGAGTTGGCGACATTAAGGTTTTCCTTTTCCTTGTTAATTCCTTAATAAAAAAACACATACAGCCTTAAACTTTCACCCTCCTACCATAAACCCCTATTTCGTAATAGTTATTTTAGTAATCAAATAAATAACTTCCCATAGGGCAAGTTATAGTAATCGCAAATGAAATTTTCGGAGTGAATCCGAGCGGAGTTGTGTCGGAGATTTTGTCATATCCGACTTTCCGAAACTGGTATTAAATATGTTAACTCGTGCAGACAATTACTGCGTTTTTGCTTTGGGAAGGAAGCGGTCGCTTTCTCGTTTCAGGCAGTTTTGTGACCAAGTCATACGTATACGAGTCAAAATAATGCCATTGTGTTTTTTTTCCAAAAAATACAAAAATATTACTTCAAAAATACAAAACAATGAAATTGTGTTCGAGTGTGAATGACTCAAATGTATAATTTATTGAATGGCAAAGGGTCATATTTCTAACTACTACAATCTTTGGCCGTGAATGACGGCAATCAGGAATATACATACCGAAAAATACACGAAACGAAACACATTTAATCTGGTTTTTCCATAGCCTGAAATTGCAATACTTAAAAGTGCAAAATTTATCAGTGATATCAAGAGTATTTAAGCAGCAAAAAATATTTAGTATATTATTACTTTTACACCATTATATAATTGTGTAAAAGTAATAATATGCTTATCGAACTACCCGATATAATATGAATTCTCGAATGGCAATGGCAGAAGAAAAATTTAGAAAGCAGAAGTACTATTATTTGGTGCAAATATTTTATGATAAATATTTTGCTTACATTATTTTGTAATTTATTATTACATTTGACAAAACCTTACAATTAGATACATAACTTAACTTCTAAAGCGAAGTCAATTTTGAATTTTACGGTTTTTATGGAATCAGTCTCATTACTTAATTGCCACACCTAGTATATATATATATATATATATATATATATATTTATATATATTAGGGCGGGTCGACTTGGCTGGGTAAAAAAGTCGCATAAGCACATTTGATTTGATTTTCATATACTTGGGATCAAAATAAGATATTTTGCCGAAGAAACCATAAGGGTCAAATTTTGAAAAATCTTGTTTTACTAAAAACTACTGATAAACTCAACCAGTAGGTGGTAACGATTAGTTAATAATTTTACTATTATATTTTTGATTAACTTTTGTTAATTAAGTGGTAGTCAGATGAAAATAAATTACAAATTTTCATTTTTACCATACTAGTCTTTTTTAGGCAGCACCCTTTCCATGCGACCGACCCAATACTCTTCCTCTATCTTGTCAGCCGCTATTTGGAATAAGTTTCCAAGTTTTCTTACTTGTACAGGAATGCGTTTGACAAAATGTGGTAATCTATATATCACCCACTGGTCATTGAATCTGTTTATAGCGCCGTTATTTTGATAGAGTAATACTTTTATGAACTTGTCCTCGGTGAATGCTAAAGCTTGCAGGGAATCGCAACACTCATTGGGTACCCAAAACTCAATGAGAATTTTATCCTCCGATTCAGAAAAATCTTCTTTGATAATTACGATATTTGACATTTTAAAAAATAATAAAACGTTTTTTATTTTTGGTTAGTTTAACCACCTACTATGACTTTAGTTGTCGAACAAATGAATTATATTTCAATTCAAGGATGAATTGATTATTGTAAATTTAAAAAATGTAAATTCAAAAAATGGTTCATGTGCGGTTCAAACCATGGCGTCAACACTAAAAGTTCTGTACAAGTACTTATCACCGAAATTTAATCACATCTAACTGTTTAATATTGAAATATTGAAGAATTAGAAGAAATATTCAAATGTTATGAAAAACTAGGGAGCTATGTGTAAGTGACATTTTGACTTAGGGTGGCTGCATAAACTTCCTGATGAGCTTTACTTCAGTCAATGGAGCGTTTTGGGTCTGAATTATTTTACTTTGCTCCGATTTGCATGAAATTTTGAAATTAGGTTCAAAGTTTAATTTCAAAAGCGAAAACAATTTGAATTCCGCCACCACCGCCACCGCTGGGCCGACTTCAACAAATGTTCGAAAAGGTTCCTAAGCCCTATAAGTCATTACACCGTCGACTGCAACAATAATGTTGCACCATAAATATAAAATCACGTTTTACGATTAGTTAATTCTATGAATCTTATTGTATATCAGACAACAACGAGCGACGATGTGGTGTTGTCAAAATGTTACTTGGAGAACCTGTGACATGTGACAGTCGCTGATGAACGAACTAACGTTTGCATGATGACCATTTATGTGAAAATTAAGATTATTCATACCAGTTCTATTATGAACAACTGTCGCTATATATGATTATTGTAATATACAAGTATGAAATCATCATATTAAATATAAGAGAGGATTTATTTTATAGAAGAAACGATTGTTGTGAAGTTTCTCCAACATAACAACTTGAACAATCATTACAGTCAATGACATGTACGACGTTTGACGTGCGGGAAATTTCAACCAACGGATGAAAAAAGTTTTTTCCATGAGTGGAAAAGGCAGTCAATGTACGGTAATGAGATGAAGGAATTGAGAGATAGTGAAATTTCAGGAACAGGGTTAAGGGTTTGTGAGGTGATACTATTTCGTTGCGATTGGGAGGTAAATAAGAAAGATGTACGGAATTTATTACGATTATTTATTTTCTGTCTGTAATTATGTATCTTTTATCTTGTTTTAAATTGTAACCCTGAAATATTTAATTGTAGCACTGAATATGGGTCACATCAAGGCCCGAAATTGTGTGTGTGTGTGTATGTATGTATGTATTTATGGATACAATTTTTCTTCCACGTTTTCGGGCGCACGGATCAACCGATTTGAATGGTTCAGAAAGCATTCGATTCCTATTGATAGGGAGATGTGCTAATTAGTTTTTGGCAAAGGCAGGTCCAGGCGTTACGCAGATACGAAGCAAAGAGTGCAGAAAATACAAATCGAGTTTTTGAGAGAACGAAGTATCCGATTTGAATGATCTGATTCGGAGTATCCGATTTGAACCTGGCAAAGGCAGGTTCAGCCATTTCAAAGATACAGACCTAAATGTGCAAAAAATGGTAGTTTTTGAAAGAACTAAGCGTCCGATTTGAATGATTCAAAAAACTTTCTGCTTGTTTCAACAAAATAATAGCTTTTGGGGAAAAAATTGTTTCAAATTTCTTTATCAATTTTCTTTTTCAAAAGAAATTTTTTTTTGAGTATTGAAAATAATTCAGATTTTAATTTTAATTCTGACTAAAGTTCTAATATACTTTAAACAAATAATTTCAGCTGTGCAATTCAGTTTATATAATTCTTATAATTATTAGATAATGTTACAATATTTATAATAATCTACTTGAAAACATTTAATATTCCTCGAACATTTTGTTACGGTACGGGAAGTTCCGGCAATTTGCCTTAAGGCACGATGCCATACACCACTAGTTTCATCCCATGTTCATTCAAAGAATTTCTGGCATAATTTTAGTTCAGTTGTTTTAAGTTATACAAAAGCTTATCTTTTAAATTTAATAAATATTTTTAGTGTGTATTTGTAAAATAAACTCATGATGAATGGGTTTGCTTTAAGGCAAGTTGCATGAATAATAATCGAGGTTTACAACTATTTATTTGGAAAATAAATGTCCAGTTTATATCTTTCAAACAAACTAATAATATCTGTAATTGATTATAGTGCACAAACCCCGCTCATGTATGCCATAAAAGCGGGGCTCATTATTCCAATATTTAAAGAATTTGTATATATCAACTCTTTACACCTAATAATTTCATCACTAATTTCATACTGTTGATCATTACTATTTAAAGTTCCAAGTGAATATCAAATTTTGATTGATTTAAAAATTTTCATAATCTAATTTTTGTTTATAAAGTCTAAACTTTCAATAATTGGCCAATAGTTTATTACTCACCCCAACAATCTTGCACTGTTGTTCCAAAGGCACGAGTGGTTCTTCGCCGGTTGGACGTGATGCCAAATACAGAGCAGACACTGCCGCCACTCCGGTCAGCGCCAAAGCTCCTGCGCCGCCTCCGACATAATGCAGATAATGCTCAACTTCTTCCACTAAAATAAAAAAAAATATTGGTTTCATATCACATGGTCTCTCAAACAAAAATGATACATTTTGAAGGGAACTAATTCTGCATTATGATATTGCAAAAAAAAAGATAGTGATCCAAATGGCAACCCAATTGAAATAATTGATGATTTAATGGGAAAGAAAAAAAATTAAGGAATTGGATGTAAAAAACATAAATAAAAAGCAACAAATATGAAATTTCGAAAATATTTGCCACCTGAAGTGGAAATATAATAGTTCTAATTAAGTCAAGATGTTATATTGATTAATTTGGATAACACTACCTACTACTACAATTCGTTTGAAGTCGATTCTTCATTAAAGAGAGTAGAAAACCAAAGACTAAAGAAAATTATATGGTTTATAATTAGATGACAAAGGAAATATATAAGAGTATAAAAATAAATTCGAGATATAAAACGAATAGAAAAAAAATAAAATTCTTCCTCATCCTAGATTTTGGCAGAACCCATTATAGTTCTACAGTAGAACTCCAATTATCCGAATTAATGGGCACAGGCACCCATTCGGATAATCAAATATTCGGATAATCAAATATTCGGATAATCGGAGTTTTTTTTTTTTAAAATTGCCATTGGAGAGAAAAAAGTTACGTTTTGATATTGCACTATTTTTTTATTGAATTAAATGAAAGAAACATGATATTTTCACATGTTTTAAATATAAATAAAATGTACTTATATACAAGTTTAGAAATAAAAATCATTGTTTTTTAAACATCTCCGTCAATTTAAGCTGTTTTGCGGTCTTCAACAAAAGAATAATAGCGCACTTAGACTTTTTTTGGACATTTTTTTTCTGAAAGTGATTCGGATAATCGGCGATTCGGATAGTCGGAGTTCGGATAATTGGAGTTCTACTGTACTTTCATTTATTGTTAGCACAAGCAAATGAATTATAGCATGCAATTTTGAAGCGCAAATAAAACTTTACTAGGTACATTCATTCTCCTCTGGGGAAATTAATTTAGCTACGGTAATTAAAACTTACATGGTATGGTAAAGAATTTCTTTAAACGGTTAGTAAAATTACGTGACGAATTATGATATTGTTTTAATGGGCGATAATCCTACATATCCAAAAAATATCATGCGATATGTGTATTTTTACACCAATTATTTTAAAACGCATATTTTGAAAGATCATAATTTATATTACAGGTGCAGACACAGGTGTTATTGTCGTTTTTTTGTCTTAACTGCTTGCTTAGTATATTAGCCCCAAACACGGGGTTAGTTGTAACATCGCATTTTTTCTAGAAATTGATGAATTGTGAAACAATGAACAACAGTTGTGGAATTATTTTAACTTGACTCGGTAGAGGAATAGTTACAGCAACTACTCATCTTTATTTGGTAAATAAATATAATCAGTGGATCTCAAGATACATTAATTTTAAAACTAGTGGGGTGTATGGCATCGTGTCTTAAGTCAAATTGCTGGAACTTCCCGTACCGTAACGAAATGTTCGGGGAATATTGAATGTTTTCAAATAGATTATTATAAATATTGTAACATTGTCTAATATATATAAGAATTATAAAAACTGAATTGCAAAGTTAAACATATTTGTTCAAAGTACATTAGAACTTTAGTCAGAATTACGATTAAAATCTGAAATATTTTTTCGATATACTAAAAAAAAATTTTGATACAATTTTTTTTCCAAAATCAATCATTTTGTATGTAAAACAAGCAGAAAGTTTTTTGAATCATTCAAATCGGACGCTTAGTTCTCTCAAAAACTGCCATTTTTTGCACATTTAGCTCTGTATCTCCGAAATGGCTAGACTTGCCCTTGCCAAAAACTAATAACCACTTCTCCCAATCATTACTAATTGAATATTTTTTAGATAATTCAAATCGGATGCTCCGTTCTCTCAAAAACTCGATTTTTATTTTCTGCACTCTTTGCTCTTTATCTCCGTAACTGCTGGACCTGCCTTTGCCAAAAACTAATCAGCACATCTCCCTATTAATAGGAATCGAATGTTTTTTTAACCATTCAAATCGGTTGATCCATGCGTCCGAAAACGTGGACGAAAAATTGTATCCATGCATACATACACACACACACATCCATTTTTTCTGAGGTATGCCAAAATGTTTAGAAACCTTCAAAACGTCGAGAAATGTAAAAGTTTTCAATTTCGATTTTCGGCCCATTACAATAACTTACCCTACGGGAAGTTAAAAAATGTTACAACAAGACCCTAGTTCCCCTATTCCAAATTTCAAAAATCTCAAGTAAGAAACAATTTCTTCGCCTATGAGTTGTTGTTTACTCCTCAAATTAGCAAGAACATTACTTTAGGAAAGTGAAAGCCTATTTCTGAAAACTTTGGCTAACAAGAAGTGTGCAAAGAGAGCAAAACGTTTAAGTAGAGAGAAGTCAAATATAATACATTTTCAAAGAATGAAACTGTATGTGAACATAACCGCATATTCCTAAATAGGACTCAATAAGATTCCAGAAATCACCAGCAAAATTTGTTCCAAAATTAATACGTATTATGTCGCCGGAGCGGTGGCATACAAATGGAAAATGGGTTCACATTTGCTTTTGAAATATGTATATTATATGTATGCAAAATATTAAATTCGCATCAACATATTTATATCTAACCAAAATCCCGCCTGGCAAATGTTAAATCCTTGTAATTAGCGCATACCTACAAACACATTTTAGGACGTTGGCAAGTATAGAACTGATAATTTGAAATGTACACATTGTTATTTCCTGGCAAATATATGCATAATGTATCTTCAAAGTGTACGATACTTTGACCCAATTTTACACCCAGTCATCGTGTAAATTAAGATAAATTAACTCTATTAATAATCGTCTTACAACAGGTGTGCAAAGCTTGAATCGGTAATACAATTTGGATAATCATGTAGGTACATGTGTATGTTAGACATGCAGCTGGATGGAACTGAGTAGGAATAAATGATTAATTTGGTTTGTTTATTTTATTGGCCTTGCTTACTTATTTAGAGTTTTTAGTCACTCTAAACATTGTGTTCTATACCATTCACTATATTTTACTGCAGTGTCTTTATGACATTGATTCTTACAAATTTTGTTTTACCAGACATAACTAACATACGAGGTGTGTTCAAAAAGTACCCGGAATTACTAATAATTAAATTTCGCGGGTCTGGAGTGTCTGATTGTCAAATTTTTTTTTATTGTGTTGGTATACATGCCCCTAAAGTATGATGAAATTTTCAGCTATATTCACTGTTTACTTTGTCTGTGGTAGTCGCTAAGGTTCGACGTGTTTTTCTGAGCTCGGCGATTTTTACAATTGAAGAATTGAAAAGTCAAAGAATTTGTATTAAATTTTGCGTAAAAAATGAAATAAAGTGTTGCAAAGTGCAAAAATTCACCAGATATGGCTCCGTGTGACTTTTTCCTATTCCCAAAGTTGAAGAGACCCATGAAAGGACGGCGGTTTTCCTCGATTGAAGAAAATCGCTGAGAGTGCTCAAGGACATATCAAAAAGTGAATATCAAGGGTGCTTCGAAAATTGGAAAAAACGCTGGCATAAGTGTATTATATCTGGGGGGGACTACTTTGAAGGGGACCACATTAATGTAGACGAATAAATAAATATTTTTTTTGAAAAAACGAAAATTCCGGGTACTTTTTGAACAGACCTCGTATGCCAATCTAATCAATTTTCTACTTCATATAAAAAGTTTCTTGACTTCACACATATTCAGTATGACAACTCAATTTTTATAGTAGTAATTTTTAACTTTCCGTAGGGTAATTTATAATAATTGCAAAAAAATCGAAAATAAACTTTTTTGCATTTTTTGAAGTTTCAAGATCTCCTGAACATTTTGGCATACGTCAGAACAAATTGAAAAATGTGTGTATGTGTATGTGTTTTGTGCGGATACAAATTTTCGTCGGCTTTTTCGGGCGCACAGGACAACCGAAATGAATGGTTCAAAGAGCATTCTTTTCGTATTGACGGGGAGACGAGCTGTTTAGTTTTTGGCAAAGGCAAGCCTGAAAGCGTTTTGGAGAAAGGAGCATACGATTGAGAGAACGGATTATCCGATTAGAATGAGTAAAAACGCATTCGATTCGTATCGACGGGGAGACGTGTTGATCATTGTTTGGCAAAGGCAGACTCAGTCGTTTCGGAGATACGGAGCAAAAAGTGTAAAATGGAAGTTTTTGAGAGTACGCAACATCCGACTAGAATGATTAAAAAAATATCCGATTCATATTGACAGGTGGACATATGATGGACAGTTACAATCATTTTTTTTTACACAGTACCGAGACTCGAGTTGATTTTTCACGCAAATTGGGCATGTCCACCGCAAATTAATTTTTAATTTTTTCAACATCAGTATATGAAGTAGCTTTAAATAACATATTTATCTTGTTTTGGTCCCTCGATAATAAATAGAGCATCAAATTCCAGTAACAATTCTGTGTTCAAAGTTCTTTCAACATTATCGATAATACCTAGTTTCATGTTTACAAATAGTTCTCTAAAATAATAAAATTTTATCATTAAAGGTTATCTATGACGATATATTATGTTGTTCTAAATTATAAATAGAATGCATTAACAATTTGACGAAGAACTTTATCATTTTAAATATGTCAAATGCTGAAAGATAAACTGGCATATTCTTCTAAAGAGAATACCAAAGATTTTGCTAAAAAAAAATTCCTAGAAAATTCTAAAGGTTTTGCTAGTTCCTCAAATCTACACGAGAGAATTGGAGGTCATAATATTTGATGTAATTGTATACACATAATTCAAGTATTTTCTATTGTTAAAACTTCAACTTTGTTTATGATTGTTATTGATCAAGATCAAATTAACTAGATGAATTTTACGACCAAGTAGTCAAATGCATAATTCTACTATTAAATGCCAGGAAAATAACATGTGCTCGTCAATAAAGATGATAATTATGTTTATGAAACGTCTTGTTTCATACCAGAATTTTATGATCATAGTTTAGTGAAGAGCATTAATATATAAATTCGCAAATCATAGCCAAAACCGCTTGTAAAATGCATATTATCGTCACCTGAGCCAAATATGTCAATTTTGCAATATATCAAAACGTCGTAGAGTTACGCTCTATTTTGTCCTACAAGTTGTAACCCAAATTATACCTTTAATTATAGTATAGTATTTCTTTATAGGACACGCGTCTTGTGATAGATAATATAGCTTTAATAATTAAAAAACAGCACTATTTAATTAGAATTAAGTTATATTTTATTTGCAGAACACAATTTATATAAATACACTATTAAAAACTCGAGTTCTATTTTCTGTACACTTTGCTCTATATCTACGTAACGGCTGGACCTGCCTTGGCCAAAAACTAATCAGCACATCTCCCTATCAATATGGATTGAATGTTTTTCAAACCATTCAAATCGGTTGATCCGTGCGCCCGAAAACGTGGACGAAAAAATGCAGCCATACAAAACACACACGCACATCCATTTTTTCTGAGGTATGCCAAAATGTTCAGAAACCTTGAAAATTAGAAGATATGCAAAAATTTTCATTTTCGATTTTCGGCCCGTTACTACAACTACCCTACGGAAAGTTATAAAAGGTAAATAAATAAATATTCGCTTAAGAATAGCATATTTAATTAAAATATAAAGTGTATATATCAAAAGTTGGTAACCACAGTGAACCATCCCAAATATCTCTGATCACGATCAAACATTATCGAAAAATTAGCTATTTTTGGAAATGTTATTTTATTTGACAAATGACTTACGATTTATCTTCACATTGTACCTAACTTTTTCATTCTTATGATGTAATTTTTTGTTAGTATTATTTTTTTGTTAATTAATGTGGTATGAAACAACCTTAGTCACATTAGATTTTATGGTGCTATTTAACAATATGAATAAATATTATTTCATTTTATTATTGTTATTTTTTTCTTACAGTCTGGCAACATTCTTTATTGAAAAATTCATTATATCCTGACCGTATGCCAGGTTGTCCACATTTGTGGGGTAGTCCAATCTGATTACCAACTCATATATACAATCAAGTCTTTATTTAATAGACTTTCTGTATGAATTTAATTTCCAGTATTGTGACTGCAAGCATATTGCAAAATTCAACATAACAAATATCGAATTTTAAAATATTAGTTTTTTGGGTCTATTTTCATATTAGTATCATTTGCCAGAACATACTACAAATGTGTTCGAAACTCCTGGACTCCGTGTGACTTCACTTGAAGTTCAGGATGATACAAATTGCGCTCAAGTTAAATCTGGCATTCAGGCGCAATTTTACACACAGACATCTTCTCATTGTATGTATTTTCCAACACCGAAAATACAATATGGAAAAGCAAAGCATTTTCACATCATGAACGTGCATTTCTCCATATAGCATTATATATAATGAAAATCACATTATATTTTATTGATTGGAATAGAAATTGATTAATATTATTTTTCAATAGTATTTCTAATTTATAATACATACTATATTTTATACATACTTGCTCAATTGAATATTAAGAATTAGTTAATGAAATGGAATCGAAACCTTAGAAATATCTGCTAACCCTTGTAAACTTATACAGTGATACCCCGACATACGAGTTTATATCATCATTCTGTAATCACGCTGTGGGTTTTGTTAATATTTTGGATATTAAATATAAATTCAATATTTATTAATTCAATCATTGTTTTTGTCTGAGCAATGAGTTGCATGTCCGGTTGAACAACTCTCATGTTCCAACTGTTGTAAACATTTTTGGAGTGATTTTTATCTCTCCTTAAACACAGTACATATCTTATTACGATCATACATCCTCGCCAACCTCATATTTTTCTATAATTTTACATTTTAATTCAAGAGACATGGCCCTTCTCTTGAGACCCATGTTTATAAAAATACATAATATTTTGTAAATGTACAAAAAACAAAAAATTATCGATATATTCTCGTGGCTAAATCGTTACTACATAATTAATATTGATATATATTTGAAATGACTAACAATAAAATAATTTACTATCACATAAAAAAGCCAAAATATCTCTGTCGTAGGAAAATCACTTTCACAACTGTTAACAAATTAACATTTTTCTAGAAAATTGTTATTCGCTCAAAGCTCGTATCCCGAATCTTGCTCGTATGTCGAAGCAACGAATCGATGGAGGTAATTTTACAAAGAGTGGAAGACTGCAAAAAAGTAAATGTTTGGCTTGTCTTACCACAATAGTGATCCAATTACTTGAACTCAAATCAAATTTTCGGATTAAAAATTATTTGGACAATAGTGACCATATTTTTTGTTATACATACAAAATTATTATCGATGATATAAATATATTGAATAGAATTACTTAACAATGGATTGGACTAAAAAGAAGATTAGATTTTAGTGGAAACGACAAGAATGCAATATGCAAAAAAACTGCATCTCCACTGATAATAATAAGAATGAAAGAATAAGAAAGATAAATTGGAATAAAAAATTATATAAAAAGATAAATAATAAGAAAGAAAGATTAGAAGATAATTTACGACTTCAGTATCTCATACACACATTATTAATGAGGCTATATTAAATAAAATTAATTAACCCTTTCCATTTCCAGTCCATTAATCACGTGAGCGAGTTTTTAAGGATTTTTGGACCCCCTCCCCCTCGGTGATACATGGTGATATTCAAAATTACCCCCCTCCCCCACCAAACATCACGTTTATTTTTAGGTACGTAAAAAAACTGTAAAATTTTTGAATTTTTTTTTTTGAAAATGTTTGAACTTTTTTTTAAAAAAAAATGGTTAAAAAATAAATACACCTCATATCTTACTATACCCCTCCCTCCCCCACGTAATATTTCGTGATTTTTTGTCAAACCCCCCCACTCTCTAAAAACCTCACGTGATTAATCGACGCCCCCTAATCTAAATTGAAAACTAAAAAAACTAGTTTTTGGAAGAAATGCAAGAGAAAAAAAAATACTGCTACAATAATTTTAAGGGTTGAATTAAGAGCATATAATTAAATATTTCATGAATATACTGTCAATAAAGTCGCGGTACCACTGTATATGCCATTTAATTCTAATAATATCTGGTTTAATGATGAAACTAATTTTATGTGTTATGATGAAATGCTACCTAGTTAAAGTTAAGGCTGTAGGATGTTGTCATATAATATGTATAATGCTACTTGAAAGAATAACTTTTTTTCAAAGTATTTTTATTACTTTTGTATATTAGTTCACTTGATTTAATAGCAATATTCGCTGTATTACTGCTATTTCACACATGTCCATCATCTTACTCTGATTGGTAACTCACAATTAGAGTGTCTTTTCTGAGGTAGCAATAACATTTAAAAAGTGCAAATTGCTTTTTCAAAAGCTTCATGGATCAGAATATAAAATACAATCATAACTGTACAATAGCTGTGCATAATGCAATTTGCAAAGCTTAAAATTGTGCTCTTCGTGAACGATAACGTGGTAATCTAAACATTGAACTCACCCCAAGTACCCTTGATCCAATTGTTGATCCAAGAAAAGCCTCCGTTATTTTCATCCCCGAACACATCGCTTCCGCCCACATCATCCACCATTTTATCAGAATTTTCAATCCCTTGATGGGTGTATCTTATACGCGAACTCTTACACTGGATTAAATACAAAGAAAAAATCTTGAAGAGGACATGGTTTTCAAGACATTACTAGCTAACGCTGATAACATTTTCAAGAAATTATTGTGCCGCTCTTAACGGTCTTTTAAAAATTAACAATATTTCAATGAAAGTTGAATAATGAAAAGAATTACTTGTGTACCGAAACTCGTTCTTTTGGAAAATCTGGTGGTAAAAATCCAATACGAAAATTTTGTCGGCAAAAAAGACAACTAAAAAGTTTTTTCGATTTTTTTATGACAGTTCGCGTCATTTTTGTTGTGACATTTTGACACCACACGGATCGAGGAATTTGTTTTTCGGCAGGTATAGCAATTAAATTCATCTTGACAAATCGCAGCAGACGGGTAATTGGATACTATTTATGTTATTTGAAACATGAAACGATAATGATAATTTGAAATTATCAATGAATTTGAAATATTCAAATAACACAGGTCCACGACTTAAAAAAAAATTGTCTGTATCGGGTATTCGAATGCAATTGGGAATGTAATTGGGTAAAGTAAAATTAGGAGTGAAAGTGCAAAAAAACGAAGAATTTTTTTTTTAAATGAGAAAATCACTAATTTAGAAATTTTACTGCATAATAATGAAAATTTTATAATTTCTGTCGTCTCCTGGCCCTTTTCCGTTGGACACGAATATAAGGCCAAAATTGAGGGCCAAATTACAAAAACGGAGAAAAATTAAAGAAAATGGCAAAACTCCTCCCTCCAAATTTTCCTACATGATAATTAAAATTTTATGATTTTTGTCGTTTCCTGGCCCTTTCACTATAAATAACCTATGAAACGGTTTTCTGCAACACTTTTTGCATCTCTGTTGAATATATTTTTGCAGCTCCCAGCAGTAATTTTCAAACTTATTTTGAGATAACTGCAAATATGTTTGCAGATTATCTAGGGGCAATGTGGAGTTAATATGTTTGCAAATTACTGCTGGAAACTGCATTAAAATAGTCAACAGAAATTAAAAAAACGTTGCAGAGGTCATTTATTGAGAAAAGTGCCAGGAAAAGATAAATTATAAGACTTTAGTTATTATGTAGGAAAAATTCTAGGATGCAGATTTTTATTTTTCTTCGTTTTTTGCGGTTTAACCCTCAATTTTAGCTTTAGATTCGTGCTTGGTAGTAAAAAATACATTGGTAAATACATATGTAGCACACCTAATACTATTACTGATATTTATAATACTAACAATTTTTTTTTATTTTGTGGACCTGTGTAATCGTTAATTTTAAACATTACATAATAAGCGACAAAACGTTATTTTTTAATAATTCCTACACATATCGTAATTAGCATTCCAATACTCGACGACAAAATGAATAAATAAACAGAGTATTTTTTAAAATGACAAAATACTATGGCCTTACTTATTAATTCAATTATCAAATTACACGATAATACCGTCTGTTACAAATAATTTACTGCTTACATATTTTTCCGTCAATAACATATATTTTGTTTCAAATAAAGTCTGTCTGATTTTCACTTAAATGTGTAATTTATGATAAATATTATGATAATTTTCTTTAACGTCGATTTAATTGGTTTTGGAAAGAAAAGATTGATATTATCAGTATTTAACGCGTTAATCGCCACAATAATAACAAAAAAATGGTCATGGTAACTTTATTAGATATTTTAGTTAAAAATATATCAAGGAAACTTAATGTACCAAAAAAAAATTTATTTTGATAAAATTTCTGAAAAAGCACAATTTTTTACGTCACATATATATGACTGACAAGGCCCTATATTAAAACTTCGTTTCTCCTACCAAATTGCTTATGTCTGACATGGTTCATGTAGAATTTCTTAACGTCAGACACATATGACTGACACTAAATTCACGACAAGGCTTAGCGATAGTTACAGGTTTCATAGTAATGATTTTTTGGATATAAAAAAATATGACTTTGAATTTGAGGTTGTTTTAAAAAGGTGTAAATATTTAAAAATATTAAGGGTTTAGAATTAATCTTTTACATATAAGTCCAGTGCGACGAGCTTTTTAATAAATGTTGATATATTTTAATTTGCAGTTAATAACGAGTATTATATAAATGTTTATTGAATTGCAGCAACCGATTTATTGAATGAATTGCTGCAATATAACCGATCTAGCCGCACCGCAGCAAACTTTTGAATTCATAACTATACATTTTAAAAATTGTCGTTTTATAACGACATAGTTTTATACAAATATTTAATATTACTTTTATAAAATAAAATTTAACTGCTAATAATATTCGCGTAATTACATGTAAATCAACGATGTCCCTTGCTGAGTAGAGGAGACTAGGTACGGTTGTGCCACATTTTTCGAACAGCAAATATTTTGTTAATTTACCAGTTAGCTGGGAGAAATGTAAATTTAAACGGTATCTTGAAAATTTGTCAACGGAAATACTGAAATACTGAAATACGATTGATTAGCCACAAAATCAAATCATACAAGAAAAAGGCTAGTGTCACAACCGTCCACACCGGGGTACGGTTGTGACAGGGATAAAATAGGTAAAAATTCCATAAGTATAACCACCAAAATGGTTCATAACGACTTTTATTAATTTATATATAAATATGTAACACAATGCAACATAATCATTTAAATAAAGGTTATGAATATAATATAACAATATTTTACAAAACATAATTTTTTAAACAAGAAATCTTTTGTTTTCTTGTATTGACTATTCCTTTCCCTTTCTCTTTCGTATTTTGTTAAGTTAAGTTAGTTTTTTCTTTATCTGTTCAAATTTCACCAAAAAAGGACAAGAAATACATGTCACATAAAACAAAACTATTTGCTGGTAATTTAACTACTAATGTTCAACAGCAAAATAACAATTTATTTATATACTACATAAAAATAACAGTTATTATTAAAAGAAATCGAACAAAAAACTTACTTTAGGCCCATTAAAACCAATTCGGTTTACAGATCATGTTAATGTAGGGCGCTGACACAATGCAATAATGGAAACTTGTTCGAACAAACATACTTCATCTTTCTCCCTTTGGACCCTATCTCAAAATCAATATAGTTTAGCTGTTATGACGACTGTCACCCCCCTAACCTGGCACAACCGTTCCCGTCTTCCCTACCAATACAATTTACGTCGCTTGATAGATAATAGTAAATTTAATTTAATCAAAGTAGCATGATATTAAAATCTATAAACTGAATAACAAATCTTGTTTTACATACAGTAAATTTATCCTAAAGTTCTATTTTCGTTCCTGTGAACCACTAAAACTCTATGAAAATTTAAGTAGCACTATTGTAATCGATCGGCTCCAAGAGCGAATGTCACTTTGCGACTGTTTCGATTAATATGAGTTCACATACGAGTTGGTTTTATTGGATTCTGTTCTTATCAATAATCACAAAGTTTCTCATTCGTAAATATTATAAATAAAAATAACATTGACTGAAGATTAATATGTTTATTTTATAAACATAATTTCATTAGTATAACCATTTTAAATAATTTTATAAATAAACCTTGACAAATTATATTTTCTATTTTGATTGAATGGAATACTGTTATGAATATTAATTAATTAATTTTCTTGGGAATAATGCTCATGTGTGATATTATTTTTATACGCTTCATGTGTACGTTTATCGGTTTAACGATAACACAACAGGTATTTTTTTATTTTATCAAATAAATATAATAGAAAACTCTATTATTTGCTATCTTTCTTAAAAATATGATATTCAGAAATATAGTTTATACAACACCCGATATTTCAGAGAACCGGTTTTCAATTTTGAATTAAAAATTATTAAATAAATATAATAGAAAACACTATTTTCACACCCGTTTGTGATAGACTAAATTTGCTCTATTTCTTAAAAATAAGATGGTCAAAAATATGGTTTATACAAAAACCGATATTTTAGAAAACCGGTTTTCGATTTTGCATTAAAAATTATAAAATCAATATAATAGAAAACTCTATTTACGCACACCGTTTGTGATAGACTAAATTGCTATCTTCCTTGGTATTTTACAAAAACCGGGTTTCAATTTTAAATTATTAAATAAATGCAATCGAAAACTCTATTTACGCACACCGTTTGTGATAGACTGATTTTGCTATATTCTTAAAAATAAATTGGTCAAAAATGTGGTTTATACATAAACCGATATTTTAGAAAACCGATTTTCGATTTCACATTAAGAATTATCAAATAAATATAGTAGAAAACTCTATTTTCACACACCCTTTGTAATGTGACTCAATTTGCTATCTTACTTGAAAATATGATGGTCAAAAATATGGTTTATACAAAAACCGATACTTTAGAAAACCGGTTTTCAATACTGCATTAAAAATTATTAAATTAATTTAATAGAAAACTCTACTTTCACACACCGTTTGTAATAGATTAAATATGCTATCCTTCCTAAAAATATGGTGGTCAAGAATATGGTTTATACAAAAACCGATATTTTAGAAACCCGATTTTCGATTTTGCATTAAAAATTATTAAATAAATATATTAGAAAACTCTATTTTTACACACCGTTTGTGATAGACTAAATTTGCTATCTATCTTTCTTGAAAATATGATGGTCAAAAATATGGTTTATACGAAAACCGATATTTTTAAAAACCGGTTTTCGATTTAGAAAATATTAAATAAATATAATAGAGAACTCTATTTGCGCACACCGTTTGTGATAGACTAAATTTGCTATATTTCTTGATAATATGATGGTTAAAAATATGGTTCATACAAAAACCAATATTTTAAAAACCGGTTTTCGAATAGTGTTTTTTTTTGAAAAACCGGTTTCAACCGGAAAAGAATATTAACTTGAATAATTAGAAAAAAAAAAATAAGAGATAATTTCGAATAATTAAAAGCAACATTTGCTATTATTGACTGTTCAATTTTATTAATAATTTTTAATGCAATTTTGTAGAACAAAAAATATA